TTTTTATTTATTATTATTATAGACAGTTTTTTTATGTTAACAACAAACTTTGGCTTTATATTTGGTTTGGTTGTAAATTCTATAATATTTTATAAATAAAACTATAATAATAATATTTTATTTGATATTTGACCATTAAAATGTATTTTTTGGATTTTTTTGTTTGTTATAATAACTTATCATTTCAAATGAAATATCAAAATTATGATTTGTTTTCATTTGTCTAACATATTTTTTAAAATTGTACTTTTGGGACAAAAATAAGAGAAACTTTTATTTGAAAAAACAATTTTCTATTTTTTCCGTCTTATTTTATTAAAATTGTTCTTCAAAAAAGCATTTTTGCCCAAAATATTTTTTATTAAGAAAAAATGATTTGCATAAAAATCCTGAATATTTAGCAAAAATGAAAAAAAATCCAATTCAGAATTTTGTTTTCCAGTTTACAATATTTAATAGATTTCTATAAAATTATTAAAACACAAAAACAATCTTAAATGTTAATAAAACAAAATAAAAACCATCCTGTAACTTAAAAATGCTTCAAATATCTAAATGTGAAAAAAATATAACAAAAACATAGTAATACATTGTCAATAAATGCTATTTTATTTGTCCAAATAAAGAAACATACAAATACTTTTTTATTTATTATTAATATTATTATGAATAATTTACTTAATTAAACGGGCTATTTTTTGAAATAAAAACAAAAACATAATTTTATAACACAAAACAATTATCGACAGTTCCATTTTTCAACTTGAAACGAAACAAATCCCATAATTTGGGTATTATACATAGGATCATATTATGTATAATATCACTAAATTATATGGGATTTTTAGTTTAAAATATACTGGATAAAAATTATTTAACACAAACAAGTTTTGTTTGTTTTTTTAGTTGTGTAAAAAAATAATTTTAGAAACAAAAATGGTTAATTATAACATATATTATTATACAAAAAATATTATTTTTTCACCACTCTCAGAATAATATAAATTGAAACTTTACCAAATATAATATTAATGTCATTAATTTATAAACCTAATATGGGGGTATTTTTAAATGTAAATTTGTTTTATTCATGAAATATTAACAAAGCATTAATATATACAGATAGAGGAAAATATGGATGACAAGGATTTAGTCGGTAACAAGAAATAATGTTTTATAAAACAAAAAATATTATTAACATTCTAATTATAAGTAAATTGAACCAACACTTACTGTCAATCCTTTTGCATAAAGTGTTGTACACGTTGTGACGCCATTTTCTTATCACTTGATGAACAATTCACAGAAGATTTTGGCTCTATAACAAAACCGAATAAAAAACTCGTTAACTTTAAAGAAATAACACACAACATTAAAATTAAAAAAATAGAAAGAAAACAATAAATCAGCAACAAATGAAAAAATTATCTCGTCATTTCAAAGAAAAGAGATGGTTTCCCGTAATGTTGAAAGCGTTTCAACTTTTTTCCATTGATATATAAAGTGCTTTTCGACTTGTCAAATGGTTTTAGACCGTTTTTTTGAACAACAGTATTCCCCAACCAAGCACAACAATGATTAAACTCACAGCCCCAACAACTACGTTAATGTCGTTAACACTGCAGACCTTGACTCCGAACAAAGAGAGATAATAAATGAGACATTAGTCTGCCACATCAAAGAAGTGACATATCTCATTGTGCTTGATACATCCAACAAAGGTCTAAATAATCATATTC